TAACGTCCGACAGCTCCTGCTCGCCTGCTTTGTCGGATGGCCGGCAGACACACCGGCTGGAGCAAGACGAACGCACAATTCCCTCAACCGCTTTCCCTGCTTCCACCCTCCGTCTGATGGAGCGTGTTTGAGCTCAAGCCGTTACCGAATGCCCACCGGCCATCGCAGAAGATCGGCATGGCTACCCCTGCTGTTTGTAATGATGGAACCAGATAATTCTACTGTGCAATATCGCGTCTACGCGTCTGGGAGCCATTAGCGAGCCAACTATGTATATCTTCGACAGAAGTCGTGCTCACAATCGCAACTCGATTGGAGTGTTGAGCCTGTTTATAACCTTTTGCATAGCTACTTCTCATAAGTGACCTGAGTACTCCCAACTGTTCCTGTTCCACATCTGCTAGTTTTCAAGTTGGTACAATAGTCTTTCTTTCATGCGACAATTTTTTCTTAATTTACTGCTCTTGTATAATGCTCTCCCCTTCACTTCAGCTCCCTGCTCTTGTCCGATGCTTGTCGACCCTTTCATTTCAGCTACATCTTGCGGTCAGTTTTTTCCCGCTCGCCTCCTAGTTTGGTAACATCGTATCGCATCAGTAGCCGCCCTTGTCTTCTCCACCCTCGATGAATCTCACACTGTTCGTTCGCAGGTAATCTCTAGATGCGGGAGGACAGTGAAATGCACGTTGGCACTGGCTTTGATAGAAGTTGTGAACAAAGCCTAAAATTAAAAAAAGTCATTAATTAGCCTATTCAGAAGGAGAGATTTTCCTCCATATTTACAGCATGCTTCACATAACTGATCTGATTTTCAGTTATAATCTAGGATTTTTGCAGCAACCAATTGATTGAACGATTGGCAATACTATTTACTCTGATGACAATTATACTATTAATACAAGCGAGACTTTTTGAAAAACTTCGAGACCATCTGGAATTCTATTCATATGGACAGCGCCGATGCGTACCGCCAATACTTTGATAAGGTGCGTCCTTCCTCGCATCGTCAATAAGGAAAAGGACGGATGAATAGGTTCCACAGTGAATTAGGTAGATGGATTCATTTTTTGCGATTAGGAGTAAAACCAACAACACGGCTCATACCTAAGGTCCGAAGGCGTTCACTGGTTACATTTACTACTCACGAAAAGGACAAATGGCCACTAAATCTACAAGTATAAGTAATAGAAACTCGGTGATTTTGGGAAGTTTGATAATATGATATGATATGACACGCTAGGGAGCGGACCCAGAGGGATTCCTTTGAGATAACTTTTTCCTGCAATATCCCTAAAATCAATTGTGAGCTAAACTGCTTCCTTCATAAGCTAGCGCTATCGCTTTTCGTTCTCTGTTATAGCCATTCCCTTTACTACTCTGAAATGTCATTGTAGTACCACAGGCTTCATTACGCCAGTCTATTTGAAAAACGTTTTCAGTTCACTCAGAAACTTTTTCAAGAAGTTCGGGTCCAGCTCCATTTATCATTAACTGCCTCTTTTTTCTGCAGGAACTATCTTACACAATACCCCGTCTCGAACTACATATATAATATTTGAAAGGTGGGACGTTTGGCCAGTTAGCCGACATTGAAGCTACCGCCTGCCTGATATACAAGGGAAATCCTTGAATATTACAATATTTTGAATTGCTTTGTTGTTCTGTGGTATAAAATGTTCCTTTATGATTTATTATTTGCAAGAAATAGAAAAACCGGAGAGCGATTTTGCCGATTTCCTACCAATAAGGGTTCGGATTCGAGGCGTTGCACAACAAATTTTTTGCTTGAGTCTACGCATGATAGCGCATTCGAGCTGGGTCATACTTGCAAAATAGGTTAACAAACTTAGCATGAAGTGTAAATTTTGGAAGACAGGGGATTTCCTGCACCGATCATATAACCTAAGCATTCCAGGACTTCCCACTTACGATCTCATTTTGAAATCATAACGACTCAGTCTTTAAATATGCATGTCAAAGGATCCCTTGAGGCTTCGGAAAGTTGAAAAATAGCAGCTGGCAGCCCCCATTTACTGTAATGATGAATAGGTCATTTTCCTCCCATAGTACAGTATGAAGGTAGAGGGAGTGCAGCAATGGATGACACTATGAACCAAAGAACCAGACAATGTCGAACTGAGCGAAAACTACTCGAAAAATGCATCGACCAATCAATGAAGATCAGGCTCTATTCCTGAAAAACAACGTTTTCAATTTTCAAAGATTTCACAGCGGAATAGAATATTTTATTAGCTTTTTTGGAAGAACTCTATGAGACTAATATCATTGCTGGTCCGGGGTGTCAAGACTGAACAGAGGTCGTTGAGCGATGTCGAATGGATGATCTTCCGATTCAGAATCTTCAGAAGAGATCGATTGGCTGCGCCGGGCTTCCGGCTGAAAATTACGAACGATTTCCATTTAGTTTTATGTGTTTTAAATTTGAACGGCTTGAATTTCTTACCCGAGCTACGGCACGTTCCAAAAAGTCAACACAGGCAGTGTGTTTGAAGAATCGAGCATCGTCTAGAGCGGATCGATTCCATCTAAGCAAAATATATTAGGAAGGTTTTCTGATTGAATGATTCTCTCTCGGGGTTTCTTACAAATAGTAGGGACGTTACCTACTGAGGAACTCGTTGGAGCTGAATTCGATGTCCAGGGGTTTCGTATCAAACCCTTTCAGCTTGGAGGTCCAAAGTTCATACCTGTCTCGAGCGTCTACATCCACTTTGGCCACGTTCACAAGAAATTTCACCATATTGAGATCACCTTCACTGGCAGCCACGTGTAGAGGAGTACGACGGTCATAGTCACAGGTAGACAGGTCTACGCCTTGCATATATAATCTGTAACGAAATTCTGAGGTCTATTGGCAACGTTGTATCAGACAAATAACAACAATACTGACTTCGAGGACAATTTACTACGGTAAGGGAAACGTTTTTTGTGACGCCGTGGTCAACCTTCCGTTTGGGTGAGATGGGATGCCAGGGTGGTGCTTCAAGGACGTGCAGGACTCGCTGTGAAACTTATCTTCATGAGGAGCCAGAAGGTGATGAAGCAAAGACAGTCAATAGCTTGAAACTCCCTTTGATTTCTAAAGCGGAAGGGGTCCTTCCTGTCATGAGAGCTTCTTCGGCAACAAGGAGAGTCAGCAGCAAGGGCGGAGTATACTTGTATGCGAGATTGGCATGGGTGTCCTATACTCTCGTACGAGTCTGGCCCTACTTGATCAACCTTGCGGGATTGTGGGCTTGGTTGGTTTGGGCGGGGGCTGATCCTGGATTCAATTCCCGGACCCTGTGCGTGTGATGGTGCCTGCAGTCTGGATTCGAATGAACGAATTCTTAGATCAACAAGTTCTTGTTTTCCTATCGGTATGTAGTTACGGCAAGCGCTGAGAGCTGAGCTTGCGGTCTCACATCGCTTCCGGAAAGAGCTTGCTGGCATTCAATCACTACCATACTACTACTTCTCAGTAGCCCGTAAACTATACTCAGCTCTACAGGAGGTAAAATGATCGTTTCAGGTCCGACCTGTAAACCATTTCAAAATGTATCAAAAGTGTGTCCCTTACCTGCGTAAGGCTACCATGTCCCTCGATCGTGCCACATACATTGCCGGCATTACAGCGTCGCGTTCAAGGAAATCTCGTCGCCTCGGGTCGATCTTATTTGATGTCGTATGCAGGAGGCAGTCATAATTATGGAAGTTGAACTTGGCGATAAGTTTCTGCAAAGAGAGACAGATCGCATTACTGATTTTCAACTTTTGTTCATAGGTACATGAACCGTATTCGATGGAGCAGACATGCTGACCTTGCAGAACTCGACACCACGACGGCTGTT